ATTTATATATATAATACATGCTATTATAATAAATTTTATTAATATCAAAAATAAATTTATAAAAGAATTTATATTTTATTATAATATAAAAGATAAATATATATTTGAATCATTATAATGTTGAATGCATAAAAGGAAAATATTAACAAATAAAAACAATTGCTTTGACATGGTGATGATATATTTATGTGTACAGAGACAGTCGCATTATCTGTAAATTATCATGTAAAAGTATTAAATTATTAATCTATATAATATAAATTATGTATACATTGAATATATTCAAAAACAAATTATATGTATCAATAATTTTATCCTAATATTTTATATAATTAAATATAATTAAACATAATTAAATATTTTTGTAAAATTATACATACATTTGAGATAAAACAAATAATTGAATAAAAATCTTTTAATAAATAATACTTAATTTCTGCATATCCCAAAGTACTAATTATTACATGCATCATCATTTAATATTTAAAAATTTTAAAGGATTTTATATTATACAAATATATATCGCAATATACCTTTCACTTACAATATTATTATTTTATAATAACATCTACACAATATATACATATAGTATTATACACACATAATATATACAAAAAGAAAATAGTTTTATAATCAATGTAATGTTAATTTTTGTATAATAAAACAACTGATAAATTTGTTTGCAATTCATCATATAAATAATATCCAATTTAAAAATATTGACAATAATATTTTTTGATCATTATATTAAATTAAATAATGACATGCAATGTCAATGCACAAATTATATATTTAAAAATTAGGCAGTGATATATTTTTAAAATGCTTAATATAATTCATTGATATATAAATATAATAAATTGTTTAAATGCTTGCAAAACTATACTAACATTTATGAAAATTCCTGTATTTACAAAATTTTCTTTACACTGTACATAGCAAATTGAATAAAAAAAATAATACTTCACTTTAATGTGAAAAATTAAAATTGTAATACTTAATATTTTCACTAATAACTGATTACTAATATAATTAAAAACTTTAAAACTTATAGTTTTTCTGATCTTTAAATATTATTATATTTTTAATGTTTAATTCTAAAGCATTTACATATTTTCTAATAATATAATTTGCTCAACAAGTTATCTATACATTTTTTTCTTTCTACTTTGATATTTAATGACTAATTTTTATTAAAAAATTTTGTATATAGATACATTAATTCAATTAAAATTTAAATGTTTTAGTCCAATACATTGCATGACAAAAATAAGATTGCAGTTTATAAGTTATAAAGTTATTCAAAAAAATAGATATAAATTCATATTAAGTTGATTAAGTAGTGCATTTTTTCTTAACTCAGATATCTTTTGTTTATGTATAATATTAAGAGTATCAATTTATGTTCATAAATCAGCACAATTTTATAATTTTTTGTTTATATAACTACTATATATAAAATATAGAGAATGTTTTTATTTACTAAGTTTTTATAATAATAAAACAAAAATGTAAATAATTGGAATGGAATTAATAATGTTAAATATCATAAATGAATAGTGCAGATAAGAAAAACATTTTACATTATTTTTTATTAAATAAATTAAAATTTAGGTAAATTTATTATAAATCAAACAATTTAATTTTTTTATTCATATAAGTTTTATAATATATAATATATAATAATAAGTTTTAAAAAGAATTATACGAATATAATAGAAAAAAATAAACCTGCACTATTCTTTTGATGATTTTTTAAAAATTTTAAATCTAATTAGATAAAAACTTAATCTATAATCTAACTAGATAAAATCTAAATCTAGATAAAATAGATTAGTTATACTGCTCCCATTTTTATAAGTCCTGCTTGACTGCCTCTACCAACACTTGCATCTTCCAATGAATCTAAGTCTAAAGCAGACTCTATCATGGTAGTATCTTGTAACAATCTAAGTCTAGATGCAGACAAAGGTGTTGTTACAGTTACCGAAGGTATAGAAGACGTATCCAATGTAGATGAAACGACAACATTCTGACGAGAAGGTAGCGGAGCAATTTCATCAATATCAATTGGAGCTATATTAAGTGATGCTAGTGGTACTTCATTGGTAACAAGTTGACTCACGCTGTTTGTAGTACTACCTAAAAACAAATATCCAATAATAATGAATTGTACAAAATAATCTAAACACATATGTATATGTATATACATTTCATATATAATTTTATATATAAGAGTTTCAATAATTGCTATTAAAGACCAATAAAAGCCGTTACAAACGCTTATTAGCAATAAAAATTGAATAATGCAACTTATTGCAAAAGTGCACTACTAATTGTGAAATTTTGTTGTATAATAAAGAAAATAAACCAAAACTGAAATTGCAATAAAGAAAATATCCCAAGCAGTAAGATGTGTTTTCTATGTGTATACAAAATGTTAATATAGTCATGGGACATTTTTAAAAGATCAATTCCAGAAGCTATAACGTAAAAATTGACATATAAAAATATCATTAAGATTTATTTCTTAAATTATAAATAATTTAAATTTGCATTAAATGAACAAAATAAAAATAGAATGAAACAGCAATGTATTGAAGAAAAATTATCTATTTCTATCATGTTTCATTTAATTTCAATTGCTTGTAATTTATTAAATAAATCTTAATCGATATTTTTGTATATCAATTCTTGTATTTATTTTAGATATTAGAATCAATCCTTCATGAATATATGTATTAATTTATATATGTTTGATTAAAACTAAAAATTATAATAGATAACTTATGTGATCATGTGTTGTGTAATGTATAAAAATTTTAATATTGCACATTACAAGCATAAATTTATAATATATCTTTTATACATGAAATTATGCACATATTTATATATACATATATAACTATACATATATTTATTTACATATCATATTTTCACAATCCCAGTACCAAAAATAAGAAAGAATTAATTAGTCACAAATCCATAAACCCTTAAATTGATATAAGATTTTGAAATTAGTTTTTAAAAATATAGGATGTATTGTGTTTATTAACGGCTATTAATAAATATCTAAATATATTCATTCATATTAAACATACACACAATGATGAATGGAGTAAAGGAAAATTAACTTACCAAATTGTATGCTCTGAGCCCTCGATACAGGACGTAATTTTTAAACAACAAATAAATATAATTTATTGAATCATAAAAATATGGCTAAATAAGAAAAAATTTAAATTTATTTTATATTTGATGATAATTCAAATTTATATTTAGATTAATTTTTTTTGCTTTAAGATTCTAAAATAATATTCTAAAATAATTGTTTTTTTTTTTTCATTATATTATATAATGTAAATAACAAATAATTATTATTTTTTGTAAAATATTAAAAAATTATAATGAAATTAATAATTTAGTTTTTTTTTCAATCAAAATATATAATATAACAAGAATACTAATTTCTTCCTTCTTCTTAAAAAAAAAAAAATATATATATGTATATTCAATACCAAATTGTCAAAAAATAAATAAATCTTAATAACAATATTAGTAATAATCAAACTTAATTTGAATTTTTATCCATAAAAATCTAGTATATAAGTTAAATATAAGAAAACATAAACAATCATATTAATGATTACTTTTGTTAATATTTAATATTTTTTAATACTATTATTTTTGCTAATAATATTTATATACATAATAAAATTTTGTTTATTTTATGTTATATAATAGAATTTATATATTTTATATTTTATTATATTGTATGATTTTAACATTAAAATTATTTTCTAATAATTACAGCCATTTAAATTTTTTTCTTTTCCAATAAATAAAATAATATTTTAAAAAGAGGGCAAGAAACTATTAAAAAAAACATTAAATATCATCATTATCGCTTATTGACCTCATGATAAATCTTCGATTTAAAAGATCTTCCTCGGTACCATCATTTGGACATAAAGAATTTTCTGTATAAGAGAAAGCATTAGTTAAAGATCCTGAACCAAATCTATTAACTGCTAGTCCTATTGCATTTTGACCAATAATTGGCATTCCTCCTGCTCCTAATATTCGTGACATTACAACAGTTGGCAAAAGATTCTTTGATATTGGATATTTTAAACCATGAACAGTGCATCTCAAATTATTATATTTAAGAGTATGAGATTGAGATATTCGTAGTGGATCTTCAGAGTAACATTGTGGAAATTTTTGGAGATCAGTATAAATACTTTTATCATTAATTTTATATCGTACCGAATCTTCAGAATATCTTTGCGGATATTTCTGAAAATCAATACCATATTTTTGATCACTAACACATTGATCATATATTAAATTATTATCCGAACATCTATGATATTCTTCCCTACATTTATGAGAATATTTATGTAAATTCTCTTCACACCTACATGGATATCTTTGAAAATCTGGATTTTCTATTTCTGTATCATACTTTACATGTTTTATGGAATCCTGAAAACAATATTGTCGGGGATATGCCGGAACATAAGTATC